GCCAGTTACTAACTAGTCGTTTTTTACCACATCAGTCCGATGGGGACGAAATGAGTCTTGCGACATCTGAAAGAGTACATCTAAATTCTAAATGTCCTAAGAAGTGACGTGCGATCTTCTTCAAAATGGAGTTCAAACTTTAAAATTACCGTCGGCAAAAATTTTAATTTTTTACGACATTTCGATGTTTGTTCAATTAAAGATAATGTCTCTTACTTTAGGATCATCTTCTATACATCATTTTGTAGAAAAATGAATGGGAAAGCTTTTGGTAATAAGATGAGCTCTGTGAGTGCAAAGAGAGATGAGAAAAACTAAAAATAAAGACTGCATCATTCTTTCTATAAAACCTGTTATGTTCCATATGTTTTGAAAGTACTCAGACATCAAATTTAGCCGATAGGTCTCCGGAAACCTGTGTAACTCCCAGCCATCGGGAATGAAAATTTGAATTTGAATGTATAGCTTGAAAGAGGACTGTCTGGGCGGTGTCTGCTGCCTCAGAATTCAAAATTCATTGTTTGGTCTATGAGCGGCAAGCTCGGACATTTTGCTTGTAATGGCTTACCATGGTAACCTGATTCGGAACCTGAATTTTAATAGGCCTACTTCCCAAACTGAGAAATACAAATCACCGCAAGGTTCTAGCTCTTTTCACTGAAAAATTATTCAAAAAATATCGGCGGCCATTCTTTTTTGAACGGACAGTAGTTTTTGTTGGCTTCATTTCGTTCGTCTGTAATTGATAATGATACATTTTGTGTTTGTATCAGTAATAAGAAGCCTAGTCTCCCTTTCATTGAACACAAACAAATCTTTTATTCTTTTAATAAATAGTTTACATCTCAAGCGAATACACTTACAGCAAAAACAACCAACTCGGAAAACTTTTAAGTTTTGATCAGAAAATATCTGAGGAATTTTCTCCCGACGAAATTTTTTGACTGAGAAAAAACATTCTAGAAAATGTTTCTGAACTATGTCGTTGGATGCTGATTACGAATATAACATTTAAATTTATTAAAACAGATAAAATGGAATTTTGCATAAAAAACCATGGTTTTTTAAACAACTAAGGAAAGGAAACAAATATACATTGAATTTTACTTTTATTTGATTTACTTTATTAAAAAACTTAACTTATACTCATTTAAAACTACTTTATTTGAAAAACTTTTTAGTAAGGAAAACAATATATTTTCCCTGAATATTGACATGAAATGATAATTTATTTCTACAAATTGGGCTTGCTTTTCTGACTCATTTATTGTCTTTTGAAATGTGATTTTTCTCGTCAAATAACTGAGATTTACTCGATTCCTACAGATACGGATGTCATTTCTCAGATCGAATTTTCTTATCAATAGAAAGCGATAAGAAGTGGTTTTTCTTTTACGAATAGATCTGGTAGACAATGTGGACTTCTTTATCCATTAAAAAGATTGACAAATAAACACATTCGTTTTTTCTCTAGATCCCACATGCATATTCACTGTGGTATGCACTACGATATAGAAATTATTTGACAATCGAAAGTCTTTCTCAATTGTTTCTTGTTTTATTACACAAGTTTGTGCATCCATGGTAATCATCAGAATTTGCGAATCGCTTGTTATATGATACGTTTTTTAACTGAGAAATGTCATAGATAAAGATATTTACTTTTCTTTAACATGCGTAGTCTTAATTGCTTTTTTTTTTGTTCTCTTCATATACACACACACACATAGACATGAGGTATTAGTCGACATTTATTATTGACTATCTTTTATTTTATGTCATTTATATTGTGCAATCTCACCTGGACACATAGACGTTGAGTTTTTTTTTCACTCACTCTCTACAATCAACAACTTTTGGTTTTCATTTTTCTATCTGTTGAGTTTTTGGTGAAATCGAATGGCAATAATGTCGACAAACTCTTGTTGTTTTTATTTAACAATTTTAATTTTTCTTCAACAACAACTATTGTTTACGATGCAAACAATGGATGACAAAGTGATCACAGTAAAAAGTAATCATTCAGTTAAGGATACAATTGATCGTATGGTCAAAATGATTCAAGACGAAAATGGAATTATATTTACTCGTATCGATCAAAAGAAGGCAGCTGAAGATGTTGGTATTGTTGATCAACTGGATGATACCGAATTAATTGTGTTTGGGAATCCTAGGGTTGGCACTCAATTAATGGTGGAGAATGGTGCAGTGTCTATTGAATTACCATTGCGTGCCTCTTGTTGGAAACGAAACGGTATTGTGTATTTAAGTGCTACAAATCCCACAGCGTGGGAAGTACCGTACAATTTAAGTTCGAAAAAAGAGATACTCAAAAAGATGAGTGACAATGTTATTCAAATGATTGAAAAAGTTAGTTCATAGTATTTAATTCTTTTTTCAGAATCAACAACAATGAGACAATCTTTCATAATGTTATATAAACGTAACTGTTATTATTTCAGTTTGGTGTGGTCGAAAATGTTGGTAATATGTTGAGTTCATGCATTCAGATGGTCATGCTTTCTGTTTTACTATCATTAATTGTTATGTATTAATATTAACATTACTAATATAATTGAAAAGTCTCCTTAAACAACATTGTCCTGAATACAGTTTGATGGAAAATATAGATAATCTATGAAAAATTTAAAACGGAAATATTTTCAAAACACTAACTATCATTAAAAGCCATAAAAAAAGGATAAACAATACACTAAACAAGGATTTTATGAATTTTTTTCTAATAATCAATTGGAAAAAACAATAGGATTTATGATGTCAATATGTTTGAATTATATCAGTAAACTAATTTCATATTTCATGTGTGAGGAGGTATAAAACGATGGACAAAAATTACAATAGATACCGAAAAGAATTAACAGAATACAATAAAATGTCTAACATAATCCATTTTCATACTTAATAGATGAATAAGTGAGATGTGTGGACAAAATGTCTAAAGACGAATTGACAAATCGCAATTTTTAAGCGTAAAAATGATGCAACAATTCGCGTTTTACCCTTATTTTGCGGATTCGTACCGAACTGATGATGCGAACTGTATCGAATTCGTACGGATACTCTTAAAAACTTTTACGAATTCTTCTTGCGAATTCGTAAACAGAGAATAGATCAAACACGGTGCTGATCAATTCGCAAATAATTCGTAAAATTAG